AACATTGCCGCGTTGAATGGTGACTCATTACCGGTGACGGCGGCGTTCTCGAATAGACAAAAGCTTGGAAGCGGTTCGCGGGAAGTCTCGATGGTGGACTCTAGAACAACCTCGAAACAGCGATCGTGAACTGTCCAGAAGAAACGCGTGACTGTTCAAATAAGGACCACCCTCAGGAGCGAGCAGTCTAGTCTAATCCAGCCCAGTCGATTAATCAGATAAACCAAGTTGAGATGGAATTATTTGCTGTTACATTTTTGCAGTGTAAGTTAGTCGTGTAAACTTGTATTGCTGAGAAATAAATTGTTGAGTTTGACCCACACCTTTTTTAATCTCCGTAAATCGTAACAATATGTGTATACATTTATTTTGGTTCCCACAAGAAATATGTATGCAATAATAATTAATAGTTAATAATAATTGACGATAGTAAAATAAGTATTACAAGAAAAGAAAGAAGCAAAATTTAATTACGCCACACTCTATCAAGAATTTCAAACATCGAATAATTTTGCATGAACTTAAATTATGTATTAATTCAAGCCACTGATTACGTCAAAAATGTGTTCACCGTGTCTTGAACTAAAAGTAAACGCTATTCATATATATGTACAGTCAAAGCACTTGAAATAAACACAGCAGGCAATATTCATTATGACTAAAATTAAAATAATCATTCGAGAATAAATATTCACATTGAATGGTAAATTTTTAGTCAAAAAGAATTTGCTCATCCTCCTAAAAAAATTGATGACGTCACCTCAAAATTTTGCTGAACAAATCCTACCTTAAATGTGCAAAGTTTGATGAGTCCATACTTGTGATTTATCATACCATTTATATTTTTTGGAATTGCATATACAGGATGACTCAAAAAAATTAATGAATGCGTGAATTTATTTTAGTTATATAATCAGGAACTACAAAACCGAATGCTTTGAAATCTTGGAGATGTTTTAAAGTTATCATAAGCATGGTAAATTTTTAATCAAAATGTATTTGCTCATCCCCCCTAAACAATTGACGTCACCCTAAAAATTTACTGAAATGTACAAAATATGATGAGTCTGTAATTGTGATTTATCATTCCATTCATATTTTTTAGATTTGCTTGACAGGTGGCTCAAAAAAATTTATGAATGAGTCAATTTATTTTATTGATTAAATCAGGAATAGCTCACTCCATTTTCCCCGATAATTTGGAGATACAACACTGTTATTATTAGAATTACATTGCACCAACCCAATTTGATAGACACAAAATTTTGTAAAGTAAAAACTCGTTTGAAACATAGGCGTAGCACGCTAATTTACATTCACTTTAACATTACAGACGTGCATTTGTTTTGTTGCACTGACTACGTTCCGTGAATGTAGTATAGACAAGTTATAATCAACCAATTGTGAATAATACGATCAAAAATTAAAATAAAATCCAATGTTTTATATAATAAGAGGAAGTCGAAGCAATAAAAAAGTCTGGACGACCATCGACATTGTTTGCTTTGTTTCTCTGTTTCACTCTCACGTATACAATCTCAACAAGTGTTACCGTTTGTTGTCTTAAATTAAGAATGTTAATACACTCTGCTAATACACGCGGCAAACTGTTTCGTTATTTAGTGGTTATAAATCAGTATTCAAGACGACCCAGTTCATTTTCCCGAAAATTTGGGAATACAGTACTTTTATTTTTAGTATTACACTACATCTATCCAAACTGGTATACGTGTTCTTGCAAAAATGTTGATGACATCATGGCGAGGGAAGTACTGTCTAAAGTTTTTAGACTAATTTTTTTTCATGTGCCCAATTACTCTGGTTCAGAAGTAACACTGATATTTACTGTGGCAACTCAAACATCTCGTCAAAATTGGAACATGTGCACAACATTTTTAAAACTCGTGAAAAATTCAAAATTTGATCTCAAAAGTGGAACCCTACGTTTGTGTTTTTTTTTTCATGGTGGAATGTGTTCAAATGCAAAGTGGTGAACCCCAAAGCGGTGGCAAATTTAAATATGAAACACCAAGGTTTCAATTAAGAGCCCAAATCATAAATCACTTAGGGGATAGATTGTTTTTACCTCATGAGATTTTTGAGATACAACACATACTCATCGCATCATCCACTTCTTCGCGCGTTATCAGTCCGAAAGGTAAGCGCACCCCACGAAGAAGTAGGTACCCCACACAAAACAAAATTAAAAAGTTTTGCGAGACAAACTAGAGCTAAATTCCCCCCTACTAACATTGCCGCAATTGACCGAAGACCTTCAAAACGTTCGTTTTGTTGTTAATTTTTTATTGAAGGATGTGTGATTTCAAATTATTAATTAGATCAAAATGCCTTCACCGATTACCTACACATATACAAAATTACTAAAGCGGCAAGGGAATAATTAGACCTGAAACAAACTATATATTAAGCCTATATTAAGAGAACATTAAAGCCGGCATGTTTTTCGAGTCCACGAGGATATTAATTTAACTGATAGAAATTTCAAGGTCCCTTCTCTCAAAATGGATAAACGTTTAACCTTTGTTTAAATGCCACAAATGCATAAGTGTTATGAATCTCGAACGAAAAGTAAGAAGTGTGTTGTAATACATAATACTGAAGTAAAAACATCCAGGAACTTTAGTTATAACTTGATAAACAAAAGAGTGAAGTCTGAGAATAAGTGAATCTCCTAACACGTGGTTTATATAAACTATTTTATAACACTACTCATATTACATTTTTCAACACGTTCCTCTCACAGCATTTCCATTCTAATGGACAAAGCAATCTATTCTTTAATACTTTATCTTGATCGGTGATTTATTTCTGAATACTTTTGATGGAATGATAGTTCTAACATTTCAGAATTAATTTCATTTATTATCTAATTGCACTACAATGAATGAACTAAAAGGTCTAGACAAAACTACAGCCAAGACAAAAACCCAAAATAGCAACGATTTTGGTTGCCAAAGATGCCTGAAACGTCAGTCGATAATCGCTAACAAACAATTCGTCCAAGTGTTTAAATTTTAAGCTTAACTTTTGGTTTTATTTTGGTATAATAACCCCAACCATTTTCTTCAATATACGTACCCGCATTTGTTCAGTCAGCCAAGAATTAAAGATAGTATTGGAAGTGGAACAAATAAAAAAAAGCTTATTGTGGTCTAAATATATTGCGTTCTGTGCTGCAAAATGCTCGGAAGAAAAGAAATGTTAGCTTACATGATTGTAATTTTACAAAATTTGATTTTCGTGTCTGGAGTATTTATACTTGTACAAACGAGGATTATTATCATGTTCTAACCAATTACAGATTAGCTATTGTTGATTCAAAATTAAAAAAACACCAAATGTTGCATTAAGTTGGTACCAAATAACTCTTCTCTATGGATTATTTTACACTGGTAACTTGGTAGTAAAAAAAACTTCAAATGTCAAAATAAAATAAATAAAAACAATGTGTTTTGAATGAAAACCATAGTCATCTTAACTTAAATTTTTTTGACAGGAGATCTTGGCACCAAAATTCTCCCTAGACAATGGTACCGGTTAAATTTTCATCCTATGTTGCCGGTTGAATGGTCTTTTAATTTTTGAATAGATAATAGTGACTGTGGTTTGTCTAAGTTTGATATCTTCATAAGTGAAGTGAAGCTGAATATGACTAATTTTTAAATATATAAAGTTGTAAAGGACCTAAACTTGCAACATAACTTAAAGGAGTATTTTCCCTTCTCTCTGTCAGTTTACGTTTTAAATTCATATCAGGTATCAGGCATAAGTTAACAGAATATTCTTTCTGCACATTTGCTAAGAACAATGCAGTCATGACAACAATACTATAATTTTCTTGACAAAAGTACTGGGTTTTAAACGATACAAAGAACACCTTGAAATTCTTATATACTCCATATTTCAAATAAGGACAAGTCAAATTGAAGAATCTAAGGACCTCTAAAATACAAACGGAGTCCTTGTCTGAATGTTTGTCATAGACTCACAGAGAAATATTTGCTTTATCAATTTAAGGTGTTTACAATTTATTAATTTCATCTACTATCTCACTACAACTTTTTGACTTTATAGGCTGGTGGGTGTACAACAATTGACAAAATTGATGTCAAAGAGATTTTCGTACCTTGCATATTTTTCATGCGTACAACTGGAATTTAAACGTTCACAGTTTTGACAGTGTAAGCAAAAAATCAAAAATTCATTAAAACGCAGATTGTGTGAGCAATCAACAGATCAGTTGCAACATAGATATTGGTCAAAGTGAATTTTTAATTTTGTAATTAAATTTCCCCGTGCAGAAAATCAATTAATAAATACCAAAGAGTGAAGTAAAAAGAGCTGGGTTTGTGCTTAAAAATCAAGGTGAAATTTAAATACTACTTATATTTTAATGCATTCTATTTTCTCCGGTGTAAACAGGGTACAAATTCCACTTACTGTATGACCTGCGTTTCAACTCACAAAAATCAGCGAGAAAAACAAGGACTTCCATGTTTATGTGGCTTTTCCAATTGTCTGTTCTTTAAATGAACAACAACGAAATTTCCTGAAGGATAATACACCCTTGTTAAAGTAATTTTATTTAATGAATCCAGTTTCACCGAAAACAAATAATTAAAAACATTCATTTGCACTCAGTGTTGATCGAACCTTCAATGAACCGTTGGTTATTTGTTCATGAAATATCGTGCACACGATTTATTGATTTTCGACAGCGTACTAGTAGGTAATGAATTAGGAGTACATATTTTACCAAAATCGAGTTATGCAACGTCCTTAATACGTGGAAACGGGAGCGTCTAATACGTGTGTCCGTCTGAAGACGTAAGCATTTTATTTATTTACAATTCTTAACACCAGCAACATGTCGCCAACAATCAGTTGATCCAAAGAGAATTTCAGAGAGCGTGATTTGCAAAAGCACGTCAGTTTTCAAAAATAGACCCTCCAGAAATAGCCCTCGTTCGAACCTATCTCAGTTGCAGGCCAGACCAAGACTGAAGAGCATTTCAGAACCGTTTCACGCGTGTGCATAACGTCCGAAATTGTAGGAAAGAGCAGCTTTTTTGATCGAAAACCACAGTAGTGAACCCACTTTCGAAACATGGAAAACTCGTATCGTCAATGCGGTGCTGTATGGAGTAATGGAACGACATAAGAAAGAAAAGCGGCACAGTAAGTCTTAAGTGTCTGTTTTGGCGGCATATGACATTTCTTACACCTAAACCTAAACTCGGCTAAAATAGTGATTTCATCCGTACACTCAGCACAGCTTATTTTGGCGCGCCAAGAGATTTTTGGCACTGAGCGCAACATCAACACGAACAAGTTCATTTCTAATTCCTCCATGGCTAACCACTATTTTTACTTGCACTTACACCGATCTTTGACACGTGATAATTGTTTATGCGACAAACCACCCTGTACATAGACACGAAAACGCAAGGTTAAAATGGTCTCGTAAATTATGTAACTTTGAGTTCGGTCTAGCACTACGTGTCCTTCTACCAACTAATAGCAAACTTTTAAAGATTGTCGAAAATAGCCACACACCGCTCTACTTATGTTGCAACTCTATTGTTTTATAGGCGCTTCCATAAAAGATTCAAAAATAACCAAGTACAATTTCTAGTATGTGATTCAGAATGTTCATAACAATAATTCAAAAGAATACATTACAAGTCGGAGACGGCCAATTCTTAACTTCCTGATAAATGGCGACACTTTTAATATCTTAAAATATAATGCCCCACATCTTGGAAAATTTATTGGAACGGAAACTCCAACTAAAACAAATTTTTGGCGGAGCCAATAACTATATAAAAAACTCCTTTGAACCTGAATCGTGCTAATTTATGTCACATTGCGCACTTCGAATGTTTCAAATATTTGAAAAATATGAGCTAAATTGACTCCCGTTATGTACCACAGGTATTTATTTTAATAGTAGATATACTTCATTCATTACCTACTTACTGAAATTATAGCCATTTCAAAAATTACGACTCATAATGTAAGCTTCCACGAATATCCGAAACGTTTAAAAATTCATAAAACGGCGTGTGAATGAAGACGCTAAATTTGTCTAACGAGCTTGTAATCCATGGTTAAAATTACGTAATTTTAAGTCCTCACCACCTGTTGTAACATAAGCACTATTTTTACTAAAAGAATAGAACCTTTACCCCTCAGTATTTTAATCTCATACGTAAATATTTATGCTCGTGTAATCAAAACTACGGTAAAATGTAATAGTGAGCTGTTGAAAAGTCCTTGTATATGTTGAAATCCAAATTTTAAAATTTCCAATGAGTACTTAACCGCGTGCTTCACTTTTTTTAAGTTGTTTTATTATGTAGATGTCTAGTTTTTTATTCGCTTGTAATTAATTTTCGTTATGAAACATTTTCACATAAAATAAACAAATTAAAGTTATTGATAAACAAGTCAAAATACATGATGGACAATTTATTTACGCTAAGTATACAATATGTGTGCTCCACTTCGCTGGGACTAGTAGGAAATTCTTTCACGTGTTATTTTTAATTTTCCAACATTTATATACATATAATAATGGGAATTTTCTTAACAGCTGTTACTTGCTTTGTTTCTTAAAATTATTATGTGCGAAAAAATAGTTAAAGTGCTGTGACTTTCTTTTGATATATATTTTTTTATAAACCAACTCCCTTGAAATTTATTTATTAATATATGTATATTATAATCGAATAAAATTTGAAATTTGAAAATTTTCGTCCACCTATGTTTATTATTTGTGTTTCATTTTGTCGGAGAAGATGACGGCGTCCGTGTTGAAACACGTCCACAGTGTATTGATATTTTTCGGTTTAAATCTTTAATAGTCACTTATTTATCAAGGGAATAAACGACGACTCTAATCCTGAGACTGTAAGTGATGCCAGAGCGGCCGTAGGGAGCGAGGGCATTTTCAGTCGAGGGATTTAGCAGGAATATTCCAGGGATGAATACAAAATTTTTCTTCCGACCTTTTTTTGACTAAAATCATAACCCTTTAATGGAAGTCAAGCCGTGTTGCACTTAATCTGGTTATTAAAGCAAGCCGTCGTCAGGGAAATATTGTTTATTTTATTCCCTTGATTTTACTTTATTCCTTTGGTAATAATGATGTACATTTATACATCAAACATGAAAGAGATAATTGTGATTTTATACCTGTTCGGGAGAAAAATTGTTTGACCTACATGTTGAGTGGCTTGAATTAAAACGAATTAATTAATTACTTAGTCATTATTATTAATTATGGTAATTTTAAGTATTTTTATACGGAAACATAATGACCACTGCTGTGGTAAAAATATTATTTTGTTTTTAGGAAAGTTCTCAAGTGTCTATTTTGAAACATTTGACAAAAAAATAAGTATGTGTGCTGCTTGTGGAAAAAAGTTATCTTTTAAATTATCCCTAAGTCCCAAAATATGACATTGTCTGCATCTAAGATTTTAAAACAATATGCATTTTGCAAATTACTAAAAGTAAATTCGGATTCAAAATTTTAAGGTGTTTTTGGCGTACTTATTTTTGTGACGTCATTAATCTCTGAGTTATGATGACGAATGATTCTTTCATGGAAAAGCAACTTTTTTGAAGACCACCTTCATGTGTTCTGTTCTTAGGACCTTGTTTTTAGTAAATTTTCTATTAGAGACAAAAATAAATTAAAATTAGTATTTTGTTGAAAAAAAAAAATAAATGTATCAAGGAAATAGCAGACGGTTATTTACAAAATGTGACAGTAATTCGCACTAAATGTTGATATACGATACTATTTAAATCTGTAAGTTACGCAAAACTGTAAATTCCAGAGGACTACTAAATATAAAGCAATTAAATGAAGGTTTACTGAGCATGTGTTTGACGACGTTATTTAAATGCGTAAAAAAATCTATATCATCCATTAAAAAAAGCAAATATCATAATTATTTCAAAACTCCGTTACATTATAAATAAATGAAAACATTAAAAGAAGCGGAAATAAGAAAATTAATTTACTTACTTGAAAATTTTCGTATTGTATCATTTTTTAAAATACTGAATTTAATTTCCACAATGTATAGATAGATATTACTTTATTGTCTTATTTTGTTGCTTAAAATACGAGTAGTGTAAATCACAATGAAAAATACAGGGTAACTATTAATGATTGAAGCATATTTTTGTGTTGGCAATTCTGAATTATTGGCAGCAATTCATTGTTGTTAATTTTGACATGCACGATCCTAACATACGTGTTGAGAAGGTGACAGCAACTGACTTGGTGTCATAAATGTCAATCTGACAATCAGGTATGCTATCATAAAATTTTAAATATGTTGCCAACCAAAAAACAATCACAAATATAAGCAATGTGTATCTACGTTTATTTGTATTAAATAAATCTGAAAATATGATATATATACTAGTTGTAGTAAAATAAAATGTTGGAAATGATTTAACTTATTTTAGAAACATACAGTTTTATCTGTTCTAACAATGAAAAGTTTTGGTAATGATTAATTATTATTATTATTATTATTTAAATAGCTAAATAAAATATCTACATGCATTTTCTCTACCGGACAAATCACTGTCATTATCGTCTGTAATTAACATTTTCAAGTTCTATGTTTAATATCTAGTAAAAAATACAAGGTAATTCAAAAATTGCGCACTAACTGTATGGGACGTGATAGTAAGTTTTCTAGTAGGAATTTTCAGGTGAAATTTGGCACAATATTAGACTAGTGTTACAAGTCAGGGACGATATTATGAAGGCATATACCTATGGTTTGGATTTCTTTTGGAAAAATTTGGATGCCTAGCGTAAAAGGGCAAGGCGGATTCATAAACCAAAATCACAAGAGTATGTTATTTTATAAATTTTAAATGGGGTTTACTAAAAAATTGAGAGAACGTCATTAATTTTTTGGTGGGGATGATACGAGACTTCTAAATACTTAGAAAATTTATAATAACCTACTTTTTCGTACTCTAGGGATCATGAAACGCCTAGAAAACATAAAAATATTCTCTTGAAAATTCCTGCTGGAATATTTTTACGACTCAAAATTTTTAGGACGTAAATCCCTATGGCCAGCGTTAAAAAAAAAAACACTGTATGTTACGTAACTAGAATGATAAAAAAGCAGACTACACACGAGTTGCGTATTTAACACAACTGTTTAGAATTCTTGATCTCTATTTTACGATTCGGTTTAAATATTGACCAAACTCGCAAAACTTGCTCTGGAAACAGTCGACACAAGAATTACATTAAAAGCTTCATCTAAGTAATCCTAAACTAAAATAACTAAGCGAATTTCTTGTAGATATAAGTTATGAAACTTAATTTTAACCTCTACGTTTTGTGGTAACAACGTATAGAACATTTCTGTACTACCAAGAAGACAAATTCTCCTCATGATACGTACATTTTTTTATCACTTTCAATATTAGCTGGCGCCATCAACGTAAATTTATTGTACTTTGGCCAAATTTCTTTTTTTAAACTGGATCTTAATTCTTTACATTATCTTTAAATTTATAAGAAGAAATTTTTTACTAAAACCACAGATGATAAAAATTTACTGACGATAGTTTCCTTTTTCTTCGGGTCTAATTTTTTGACAAAACTGGATTTCTAGCATAGATGAAGTTTGTCAAAACATTAATTACACCTGAAGAAGAAGAAAACTACATTCGAAACTCGTCAATAAATAAAAATATTCTTAATCTGTGTTTAATGAGCAATTTTTATCATAATAATGTTGACAAAACCGAAAACACAAAAGTTATTATGTTTAAATTTATACGTTTCCTCTATCTAAAAATAGTAACCACTTTTCTTGTATAAATAATGGTTTTGATGAACAATACAGGAAAATTACTAGAAATTCACTCGGAATATTTTTTGTATCAAAAGATGTGTATAAAATCTTGCATAAATACGCACAAGCTAAATTAACATCCTGCATTTAATATAAATCTATCCACTCAATAGCTTTTAAATAATCACATAGTTCTACAAAACGGTTTACTTAAAATTAAATCTCGTATACAATCAAATGGAAATTTACTTCCACTATCTTTTTGTAACCGTACTTTTATTTTTTAACTAAAGTTCCTTCACATTTAACAGTAGAGACAATAATCACATCCAAAACTGTCAAGGTTCGACCGCTCAACCCTCGTTTCTTCAACAATACTATAAATCGTGCTATAAATTGATTAAAAAATGTTGTTCCTTTGTGAATAATATTTCTGTTCAAAGGTCCCTACACACATCACATTTGTTATTTTATCCACATAGATCTCTTTCGTAACTGTAAATATATATAATTACACGATTTCTAAATATTAAGAATTTTTCAGAAACATTAAATTGTTAAAGAAACCAAACTAACTGCCTAAAAAATTTACAAATTTTTGCAACTAGTGTCCAAAAATACGGTGTTAAAATAATTCAGGCAGGACAGGATGTGTCTAGTATCAAATCAATAAACTGTTGCTAAGTTTAACTAGTTCAGGAATGAATAAACGAAAAGGTTTCAGAGTAATTTTGATGCCTGTATCTTTTATATTAAAGAACCTTTACAAAACGTGAAAACCGGTGTAGTATGAACACGATTTATTTGTAATTTACTCTTTCCATATGTAAAATAATGAAGTGACACAGTTGTGGGAAAAATATAACGAATGATAAAGTCTTATAAATGTATAAAATAGATTCTCGTTGATTAGAATTATACTTGTTGATCACACTACATGTCAGTATCAATCACTTGTTTCCAACAGAATCACAATTAACACTAATATCATATTTGAACATCACAATTATAACTCAGCAATTTAGTAACTATTAACCGCTCATTGAAAATATCAAAAGTATTTTCAAAGGTTTTGCAATTTTTAGGGAAGAAAGCTCCACGGGTACCGATCAAGACATACAAGTGGGAAGACATTCGGAGAGAGCGGTTAAGAGGTGGTTACCCCTGGACCTATTTGTACAAGGAGCCTTATAGCGAAAAACTCGATCCAAAAGTGTTTACAATGGACACCAAAACAAAACCTAAGAAGACAATTAAAAAGCAGCAGCCAGATCGGCTGGAAATTAAAGAAATAACTAATGGCACAGGTGACACACATCAAGACACACTAACGCCAGAACCTTCCGGATACATCGTCATTACGGAAGTACCAAGTGATTCAGAAAACCATTCCAAAGAAGTACCAGCTGCAGGGGGTTCAGTCACAATAGAGGATGTAGGAGAAGCAGAAAACATAAACTTAGAATCAGCTGAAAGTTCGGACAACATCAGTCAGTATTTAGACAAAGAAGAACCAACGATAGAGCCTGCTGGAACATCAACAGCAAAGAAAAGTGAAGAGGTTGCGCCAGAAAACGGACGACAAGAGAGAGCCAAATCGGAAGAACCAAAACGTAAACGAAAATTATCGATCGATAGTAGTTACAGTCGAAAAAGTTTATCAAAATTAGCGATTATTAAAAAGCTAAAAGAAGCAAAAGATAAAATTAAAGTTCCTAAACTGAATTTGCCTAGTTTACCAAATCTGTCGGTTTTATCTAATCCTCTAAAATCGGGTACCACAGGAAAAAGTAAGAAGGATCCTGAAAGTAAGAAAGAAAAAACGACGGATTCTGGAACAAAAATTAAGGTGGATCCAAATGCAAAGCCGGAATATATTCATATTCCACTAAAACCACCCGAAGGACAATTTGATGAATTTTCGTATTTAGAATTTGGTGAAAAGAAACCGGAAGAACCAAAGGAGGAAGAACCACCAAAACCTCCCGAAGCTCCAACTATTGAAATCTCTGAACCTCCAACAATTGAAATATCTGACGCGTTTGATTATGATCAAAGACGGTTTAGTGGTGATCCCGATGATATTGTAGCTTTTGAAATTTTAAAAACTGAAAACATTGATTTAGATCATGCAACGAAAAATGGCCTTCAGGGAGGTAGCGATTATCTGATTATTGAACAAGAAGATGACGCAAAAAGTGAAACCAGAAGTATGATCATTATTATGTCAGGACCAGATGAACCGCAGTTGAGTAGAGCAGGATCTAGAAGAGGAACTCCGACACGGCAAGGCAGCACACGAGGTCGTGCAAAATCAGCAGAACCAGAAAAGAAGCGAAAATTATCAGTAGAGAGTAGTCATAGCAGATCTAGTTTATCGAAATTAGGTTTTCTTAAAAAACTTCAAGAAGCTAAAGATAAATTTAAACTTCCAAAATTCTCCTTATCAAGGTCAAGTTCGAAAAAGGCATCCCATAAAAAGGATAAAGAAGAAACAAGTGCGCCTAAAGAAACTAAAGAAGAGGCCAAAAAAAGTGAACCATCTGGCGGCCAACCCAAATATATTCACATCCCATTGAAACCTCCCGAAGGACAAACGGACGAGTTTTCGTACTTAGAATTTGAAGAGAAAAAAGAAGAAAAACCTGTTGAGACAGAAACGAGTGTGAAAGAACAAAGTTCTGTAGAAAGCCCTGAGAGCCCCAAAAGCGAAGGTGTTCAATTTATTTTCTTAACTCCACCTTCAGATGATGAAGTTCTAGATCACCCCGATATACCTGAAACTCCATCCTCTGAAAGTAAAAATTTCTTTGCAAGTCGCCTTGACGAACTGCAAGAACTTGCAAAAGACGCTGTTGACAAGACATCCCCTAAATCACGGAAAAAACTACAGTCGGTTGAGGAAGAGGAAAATTCTGAAACAGTTCCTGCGAAACCTGAAGACGCTACAAAAACCGAAATCCAAGAGGAAAAGAAAGTCGAACCCGAGGAAAAAACCGAAAGCAAACCTGAAGAAGAAAAGAAAAGTGAACCTAAACCAGATAAACCAAAGAAAACAAAAGCTAAAGCTAAAAAAGGTAAACAAGACGTAAAAGAGAAAAAAGAAGATGACACCAAAGACAAGCCAACAGAAGATACAAAAACTGACGAAAGTAAAGTGAAAGCTGCAGAAGTACCAGAAAAGAAAGTTGAAAAAATGGTGGTGGATGAAGAAGACGGTTTGAAGTTGACCGAATCAGCGATGGCGAAGCAAGAACAAAACGTCAAATCTAAAGAAGTTGTGGAAGACTTGAAGTCGAGTCTGAAGACTGACGGATCTCCCACTTTAAAAAAGAAAGTTTCATTTAAAAGAAAATCGAAAGATGACTCGAAAGACGGAGATTACGAAGATATACAAGCACCTCCGGGTGACAAATCGGCACAGGATAAAAGTACGGACGAACACAAAAGTAAATTGGCTGTAATGGGGACCAGTCAGTCCATGTCGGTTGATGAAGAGAAGAGTTATCTTGATGAACAAAAAATAATCAAAAGTACTTCGCTTGAAGAGGATTATAACAGATGGTCAAAATTAAGGTAAGTGCACTTTGAATATGTTTCTAAACACTATAATTAGTACATTGTGTATCAGTAACTAACGCCTTCATCGTGTACAGCAATTCATTCATAGAGCCAGTAAATTAAGACGAAGGCACCGTTAAAATGCAATGCTGCTTTGAATACACATTGTTAACTGGAAGTGCTGTTAATCAAAGTTGTTTATGCTTATTAATGCAGAAAATTGATAAAACGCGATATGTATAATTTAATAACTATATAAATATTATTAGTTTCTTTCTAGTTACGTGATTGTTTATATGTAAACGTTACAGTTAAAGTTTCTGTTTATATCTTGCATATAAAATAATCAAATAATTTTAAATTATTATAGACATTTGAGAAAACATTTTTATATACACAGTCAGCTATAAATTTAATAGATGATAACTAAATGTGGGAACTTCTAATAAAATATAGAATAATATAAAGAATTCAAACTTCTACATAAAAATAATCTCGTTTAGAGCTTGTGCTATTTTAAATCTTTTATTTTTATATAACTATTGTATTTTTTATCTTAAATAGTTCCTAGTTGGCTCTAGGGCAGTTATTTTTTGACTAGTTTGTGTCTAGCTCTTGGTTGTTGGGTATCCAAAGAAGCTTAAAATCTCGGGTGATTGTACAGGTAAAGTTAAAATGTATAAATCTATACACCATGTTAGTTAAACCGGGCCTTGTTATGCTATGAAATTTTTAAATGTTTCAAAGAAGACAAATAAAAATTAGAACAAAGAAAATTAAATACAAGTACGCGTATTTACTGGTGATATTTTGTAACAATTGTTGCACAATACAACCCAAAAGTTGTTGATAAGCGTGCCAACACTTTATCTGACAGCGCATTTGCTCCAATATATCAAAAACTTTAAATGAATAATTTATTTTTGTTCCAAAAATACTACTTCCTTTTTCTTTTTAGTATATAAGATGGTGTTCCAGACACTCCGTCTTCGAAGACTACAATGTGTCAAAAAAGTGACTTAAAATTACAGTTGGACTAATTCTAACCACATTTTTCTTCATTTCAAAAAACTAATATTAACTTTATTTCTTTCATGATTATCACTAATCGTGTTACATATGCTTTATTTTTTACATACGTATCCATTTACTGAGAAATGGGTTATTTAGACTTCACGTTACTTTTTTTTATTAATTGCTAATCCAGCAATATAGTCTTCAAAGAACTATTTTAGCTTACTAACATTACTTGTGTTCGTCATCACTCTTCATCGAGTTAGGGTAAACTACGAAATATAATTAGATGTTATCAATATACAGGTACATACACTAAGTGGCCGTTCCTCAATATATCAGTAATTACTGAAGAAAATTGAAAAACAAGTGGCATACACTAAAATTATTTTCAATTATACAGAGTGTTCGGTTTATGAGGCATAATACACAACTTAGTATTTTTAAATAGAACAACCTAGATATTTTTACACATTCTCATTGGCCTTTTACCAGGTTTTATAACCACAGTTTACTTTTGTAATTCCGATGCGACGTTGGCATGTTATTTTCATTTTTTTGATTTTTTTACAAAACAAGGGTTCACAAAAGAAATTTTTATAAACACTCTGTATACATATTAAGATTGAATTAAATCGATGGCAACGTCGCATTAGCATATCAAAAATGAACTATGGGTATACAATCTAAGAACAAGCCAAACAAAATTGTGTATTACTCCGCAAAAACGGAACACTCTATATTTTTGTCGTTTTTTTTTCTATTTCTAATATTTAATTATAATTAGATATCAGAAACCGTACACTTTTTGACTCAACCTGTATATTCAAATTTTACCAAGAATTTTTGCTATTTTATCTCGAAATTTAAACGTTAACTGTAAAATCTAAATTCTAGTAGTTTTTAAGTAGCTAAATGTGACTATTTATTATTCATATAGTCAGTCATTTTGGTCCCTTTAAATCTCTAAAAATACCTTAAATACGTTTTTTATCTACCATAAAGATATTTCTTTTGTAGGACTGTTCGTATACTTGGTAGCTAAAATCTCTACATTATTCACATGTGTATTTAATTCATTAATCACTCCGGAATGTTCTTATTTAAGACTAAATTATGTAAAACAAAAGTTGTAATAATTCATATAAATGTATTGTTTCTAACCGAGAAAGAGATCATAGCATGTACAGTACTTCCATTTCATCTATACTAACAAAAGTAAGAAAAAAAATCTTTGTGATTCAAAATTTCATTTTATGTTAAATTATTTAACAAGTCAATAAAATCATTGTTATACATAGTTTTCCTCTTCTCACGTTCCCCGTTAGTTTGAAATACGTGATAAAATATTAGTTGTCGTCCGGACAAAAGAAAAGCTCTGAAAAATTCTTTAACACTAAACAGTTTTAATGCTTCCGAAGAATTTAGGAATTTTTTTGTTTAAGAGAGTAGAAACTAATTCCAAAAGCATATATACATATACAACGTGTATGGCATCAGCACATCACTCACATCATCGCTTCTTCGTATGTTTTTAAATACTCCGTCATCTCGTTAACACATTCTTTCATCAGTGGTAACATCAACTTTATTTTTCTTGAAGATAGGAAAAATACTAAAACGCAAATTTTTCTATATTTAATTATTCGGAGCATTAAAGAGGGCATGACTTTCCGTGGCATTAACAGCTTTATCTTTTTTCTTTTTTCTTGTGTTCATAAATTTGCCAAAACCTTTAGCTAAAATTTCTACCTAATTCTAAGTTGAAAGGTTTTATCGCAAATTATAAAAATACTAGTTTGTTTTTATTCAGTTAAAAGAGTAAAAGTGATTTTCAAGTACTACATTCCTAGAATTACAGTAACTTTTTCTTTACAATTATGGAAGTTTAAAAAATGGTTTTAGACTACGACTATCTTTTTAAATAGTTCTACTATTTTTTGGTATTTTTTGAAATAAACATAAAGTTGTTTAGCTGATTAAATGACCATCTTCGAAAATATTTTTAGTAGGTATTGTCCTATTTAGTGCACGTTATTATTAAGTTTTGTAATAAGTACATAATTATTAATTAGATATATTATAATCGCAACACAGCATGTTTCATCTCAAATGATCGGTTTAAATTATTTCAGAACTACCTATTTGCATCAAAAACATTAAATTTGGGTACAACTCTATCTATCGCTATATCTCTGAGAGGATTATTTTTTTTATTTTGTAAATTTTTTCGGCCAAATTTATGCCATATAATACATACGTATAGTAGTTCAATAACAGTAGATAAGAACCTCTTTTAAAAACCTTGAAACATGTTCCTTACTTTTTTTATATATATAGTGGGATTGTGCAAATTGCACAAGTACGGATAATGAAAATTATATTTAAAGTAGATAACTAACGGGAAAAAGGCCCCTCAGCAGTAATAACGAGCTGTAATTTTAAAAGTGCTTGTTTATACGTCGGAATAATGTCACGTAGAAATTTGTTTGATTTGAAATTAGTTTGTCATTTCAAAGCAAGGGACTAAAATCATTAATTACGCTACAATCGGAAGAGAATGCTTTGAATATTATTATAATTTTCATTAAATAAAGACGAGCATATTCTCCCCTTTTCGAGAAAATGAGGTGACTCGTTCTTAATTTGATCAATAAAAAACTGTAATAACGTCATAACCATAGATAATACACAAAGCGGGAGAAAAAAAAAAAAAAAACAAGCGCCAAAGGTTTGGCGTTGAACGTGGGAGTGCCGGTCCGCGTTTCGAGCTGTTACCCACTAAGCCACAGTGGCGATATCGTACGCTAATGGTATATTGTTATTATACTTGTTAATTTTTTTGTGAACATTTGGACGTTTAAGAAAAAACTCAAAGCAGATGCGTACACCACAAGTGTAGGAGTATATTACTGTATAACATTTAAATCATTTTAAAATAGAATTCCTTGAAATTACGTCATCAAGTTGTTGGTAGGGATAATTAACCAAATTTTGGTTGGCGTTTGACCATCTACATGACATTCATATATAAATAAAAAATTTACGATTACGTATCTGATAAAATCGACACTGACATCAGACAGACAAACAGACTGAAACGGGAGACTACTTTTTTCGTAGTGTAGGGGCCAGGAAATGTCGAGAAAACTTAAAATTGGCAAATCGTCCAATGGATTCGCTGACTATTACGCTCAGGAAGTAAAAATGTTATTTATTTTTGATAGAGTGGGAGTGAACAAAAACGGCTTGATTTGTACTGAAGTTGAATGAACCATTTTTAAGAAAAATGATAAAATAAATTACTTAATATATTTGCTTTGTTAAGATATGGTAACGCTGAGCGGGCGAATAAAATTGGCGTGGGTAAACTCAACAATTTATTTCTTAATAACTCGAATTATACGACTAACTATTACAGCGATTATGTACAAATTCACTTCGTGGTGCAACTTGAATGAATTCGTTCACTCGCAGGACTCGACTTCTTCTGAATAATCCTCTTTCCCCAAGGTGTACTCTATTTAAACAACACGCGGTCTTTCTCGAAACGCCTAAGTCACCGCTTCTAGACTTCTCCGGAAAACACATTCGCGACTTTCGTTTCCAGGCCTTTCTCTTTAGCGACGCTGATGAGTCATCTACGCATATACCAGAATAAAGACACATATACTAGAAGTATGGGTTTCTTTCGTAACAATATACTGAAACTCTATAACGTTTATTACCCTACAACACCGCAAATAATACAAAATTACAAAAACTGTTGACGCTTTTCGCCAACCATGGTGACATTATCTAGATAATACCAACCTAAGATTAATAATTTTGTATTTTCGATGTTGTAGGGTCATCAGTGTAATCGTGCATCGAGTGATCGAAGATGATTCCTAAAATCGTATTACTACATACCGCAAGCAATAATAAATTAAGTGACTATTTTTTAATCAGATTTTAATTAACACACTTTTTGAGAAGACGTCATCAAATTTCAAATCAGC